TCACACCCACCATTCACCAACGATTACTACTAATTCCCTTGATCTGCAAGAAACCGTTTTACTCTCGGTTTAAGGATGTAGTCTCCCCGAACAATTGTTAATTAATGTTCCCTAATGTTATTCAGGAACACTCCGAATGTTTAATAATATAGATTAACTCCGAAAAACTAGGCAAAGGCGTACCGATCCCAATGACATTTCCGCCAGGAAGTGCTCTTTCGTGAGCGGGTTTTTTCAGACTGATTAATTTTTTGTGAGACTCCCCTATTCGTTCTTTTGAAAATTGGGAAATTGCTAAAAGTGGGAGAGGTGGCGTGATTTCCACCTTTCTGATTCCGGGTTCATTAACTTGGCTTTACTTGCTAAAAAATTGCAAGTTCTTAAATTTTTCCTAGCGATGGCCTTTGTGGAATGCAGCGTTGCACATTCCCTTGAGGTCAGTGATGGGTTTTGGTGAATTGCCCAATTTTTGTGGCGGCGGTTCATTGACTTGACTTTTATTATTTAATTTAATAATGTCGCGGAATTGTTAAAATAATCTGGACATTACACGTTAAAATTGAACGTTCCTTAAAGATCATGATGTTATTTATAACGGGAGATCATGAAATCTCTATCGTTTGGGATGAATACTCAAAAAAATAACGTTCTGCCAAAATCTTTAACATGTTGCCAAGTTTCTTTTTAGCCAATATTTATATTGTCGTACAACAGGCTTTCTGGAACTAAACCTGGATTTTTTCTTTTATCTATTTATTTAGTCAACCTGTAACAGCTTGTTGAATACATCCTCTTTCACATTGTTATTAATTTTTGAATGAACGTTTGAAGTCGTTTATTTGCGTTTTTTCATCTTCTTGTGACAATAATCGACTAAAATATGCAGAAAAATTTGCATGAAGAGCACTGTTAGATTATTCATTATGGTCATATTGAGTACATCGGAGTATTCGGCAAATGGTTATAGGGACGACAGCCCAATCCAAATAATCCAATGGAGTATTGTTCAACAATACCACCTTTGCAACAGTTAGCTGGGAACTTACCGCTGCCTCCAACTGTCATGGTACCTGTTGGTGTTCTCAAACGTGAAGGAAGTACGAAACAGCGAGCTGAGGGGCAGAAGTCAGTCATGTTCAGTGATGGTGAGCTTTTCATGAAAAATTATTATTTTCAAAAAATTCGCACAATATTTCTCATAACCTATTTCTTAACCCTGCCAAAACATTCAAAGAAATATAAGGATGAGCAAAATAAATTATGAGTGTGAAAAGAATTGAGCGTATTTCATAACAATGTTTTAAAACATCTTCAAAATTAAAGCGAGAGTATGGGCTAAATTAAAAAACTTATTCAAGCTGAACAATAACGAAAGCAAATTCTTCATTTGCTAATCTCATATGAAAATTAAGTGGAGAAAACATGACGTTTGAATATTTCTTACAGTAATGTTGTAATGGAAAAGATGCAAAGTTTATCAATAATTTTTTTGATAAGTTTTGGCAGTGAGCATCGCAGAAAATAAGTTCGCAGATTTCTCCGTCATACGATCATGATTCTACAGCACCCAAATTCTTGTATCTTTGAAAGTGTATACTGATAATAGAAGATTTCATTTTTTCACAGACTAATCGCCATACTTGAAAAGAAGTTGGATTCAATTTTTTTGTGCCCATGCCAAATTCTATATGCTTTTATACTCATGCTTAGAGAACAACTTTAGAATTTATTTTGGCAGTTATGCTGTTTTGATAATTTTGTCATATTTTCTTAACGTTTTACCCCGGTGGGTTTAATAACGTCACAGAGACAGTTTCTGATCATCTAAAAAAAAATCACACAATTTGAGAACAGTGAAAATGAACATGATAATGGTTAAAATTAGTATCAACCGGATGATATCGAATTGGCCATGAAAAAATTTCTCCTTATTATTTTAGTATTCCTTCCATTTTTCCTTACGGACATTATATTTTATATTAATGTGATGCAGTTAATCACCTTTCTTTGTAATGCTACCAGTCATGAAAACCGTTGCATCGATCGGAAACTTCCTCCTTTGCTTTAATACATTTCAAAGTAACCGGCTATCATACTGATTACTTGAACGCTTCGTTCTGAAACTGTGTCTCATTTTTCCTTTCCGTATTGGCAGGAAATA